GGAATAGCTCAGAACACCAACCTTTCACCATTAATTACCATATCTTGCTCCCTAGTGTCCCTATCAAGTCCCCATGTACAATTTAAAACAACAACATGCAAGTTGTGGGAAATGCAGCTGTTGGAAGGATGATGCACCACAGGTCCATCTATGGCTGAAACACTTTCAAATACATGTACGCTTGCCCCAAGCAATAATTATGACAAAGGAATATCAATCTGGCTTGAATGGGATTCTTCACTCTAGCCTTGTTGTGCTGATCTGTCTTCTCTCTCTCCAGCCTTTCCCTTGTGTGTCCACAATCTTTTTGCAACCCAGAAGGAAGGCTATGTGCCTTTCTTCTGATTTATGCATGGGATCTAACTATTGTAAGTGTTCTATAAATAGCCACTATCAATTTGTCAATCAGCATTAGAGGATTAGTTTTAAATGTATGTATTTTAGTAGTTATACGCCCATCTTGGATAATTCTAAAAGAAAAGCAAAGATGAATAATGAAATAAAAATACCTTATTGTAAAATGCTATACAGTTTAAAAGATTATGACAAAAGCACAGTTCCATAAAAAGTAAATGGTACTACCATAGAGTAGCTTTGGTATGCATTGAATAACAGATTGTTTCTGGTTGCCTGTCTCTATTTTGTTCAAGCAGAACCTACAGAAAGTGTGGACAATACAGTATATGGCTTTCCCAGTTACCAAGATTTTGAGAAGACAAGGCCCATATATTTTGAAATGAATAGGTCTGTTGCAAAAAACCCCCCCATAAAATTGAAATATTTTCTGGATCTCATCATGACTCCAGGTCCTACACCTTTTCTGAGTTGTTCCATAATTAATAATAATAATAATAATAATAATAATAAACTTTATTTATACTCTGCCACCATTTCCCCTCGAGGAGGCTTACATGAGGCCAAGCCGATACATCAAATTGCAATAAAATAAACAACATCACAGAAAAATACAGAACATATGACTAAAATAAACAAAAGAAAGCAGTAAACCAAACATAATGACAGTGAGCGGGCCGCATGTACATAAAATGATTTAAAAACTCAGGGTGAGATAAAGGAGCAGAATTATTTGTGAGTGAAAACTCGTAGAGAGACAGGGTGATAGACTGACCTTCATACAAGGGGGAGTGTACTCCTAGGACAAAGATGTTGAGGGGAACAATAGGTTAAGAATATGTAAATAGTCTCCAAAAGTGCAATGGCAGAGCCACGTCTTGAGATTCTTTTTAAAGGTTTATAAGGTAGGGTAATGAGTTCCAGAGTTGGGGGGCCACAGAGAAGAGGGCTCTCTCCCTTGTACCCACAAGGCGAGTCTAAGAAATTGGTAAGGGTGAAAGGAGGGCCTCCCCTGAAGATCGAAGAGTTTGGGCTGGTTCATGGAGAGATATGATCACGAAGGTAGGTGGGTCCCAAACTGTTTAGGGCTTTATAGGTCAGAACCTCCCCCTTGAATTGGGACCAGAAAATGAACGGCAGCCAATGGAGCTCCTTAAACAGGGGGGTAGACCACTCCCTGTAAGTTGCCCCAGTTATTAATCTGGCTGCCAACTGTTGGACAAGTTGCAATTCCTGGGCCGTCTTCAAGGGTAGCCCCACATAGAGTGCATTGCAGTAATCCAGTCTAGAGGTAAAGGCATGGACCACCAAGGCATGGACCACCATGGTAAAGTCAGACTTCATGAGGTATGGTCGCAGTTGGCACACGAGTTTTGATGCGAAGGCTCTCCCAGCCACCGCCAACACCTGTGCTTCAAGCATCAGCGTGAAGTCCAGGAGAACCCCCAAACTGCATCTAGATACATTCTCAAATTGGGAGAAGAGAACATGTGATCCTTTAGGTCAGTGGTTCTCAACCTGTGGGTCCCCAGATGTTTTGGCCTTCAACTCCCAGAAATTCCAGCCAGTTTACCAGCTGTTAAGATTTCTGAGAGTTGACAACCAAACCATCTAGGGACCCACAGGTTAAGACTACTGCTTTAAGTGCTTTGTATTACAGTTCACAGAAGTTTCAGCCTGAAGGCATAATACTAAGGGATTATGGGGAATGTATTCCAAAACACAAAGCAAGCCCTAAATCAGTGAAGGTATTATTTATTCATTTGTTTATATCTTGTGCATTTTCTATAATGGAACACAAAATTTAGGATTTCCCATGAGGTTTTCCAAGTAGGCACTGAGGAGATTCAGAATAGCTTAAGCTTCAAAATGATCAGTCCATTCTATGTATCCAAAGTGTATTACAGGATCAAATCGCTAACTTATATTTACAAGAGATTAAGGCAAAATTGATATATAACTACAAAGGCTTAAAAAAACCCAAGTATGCTAATAACATATGCTTCCACTCTCCAAAAAAAGCATCTTATGCATGTAGAAAGAAAGTTGTAAGAACACAAACAGATACACAAATACGTATGTTGTCAAAGCAAAGCAAGGTGAAAAGAGAAACACTGGAAATGGGAGGATAAAACAGCAGCTGGGAGGCAAGTATTAAGTGCAGAAAAGATTAAAGAAGGAGAATCATTCTGAATTTTTAAACAGACTTTATATTAGCATGTAGTACCAGCATCTATAAAGGGGTCTAAAACGATTAAAAGCAGTTTGATTAATGCTGGGATATTGTCTTCAGAACCACATATTGCTAGACAAAAAAGACAGCTAGTTTTTCATATTTATTTTTGGTGGTTAAAAAAGACTCCTTTGCTTATTATTATTTTTTAAGGTTCTCTTGCAAAAATGTCTCCTTATTTCTATCACTTTCTCATGCTTTTGCTCTCTGCTAACCTCGTCTGCCTGCAATGACATCATCATGTAGCTAAATGTAGGAAAGGGCTATCTATGCAAATTTCAAAGGTCCTTACTTTCTGCATTGCCACCGATATGTGTAATCTGGGCCTGCAAATGTTCTTAACTGACTTGGGACTGTTCAGACATTACTTTTGCTACATTGATCAACAGCATAAATCAGAGCGATCCTCCTGCACTCCCATGAGGCAATGTCTACGTCACTGCTATGTGAGAAGTTTTCATTTTCCTAAAAGATACATTTCTAATTTATTTCCTATTCTTATATAGACATGTTAAAATACTGCCTTTCTATCATAAAACCTTTAAGTCAACAAAAGTATAAACGCAAACTGTAAAATCCACCGAGACATCAAGGATAACAATTAAATAAATCAAGACAACTGCCCAAAACAACAGTGTTAAAATAATCAATCCATCACCTAAAGAACAGAAGAAACATTGTCATAAAGGTAACTTTGGGAAGAATATAATGTAAAAATTATGCCCCCGCTTCCCCCACCCCCTGGCAGGTGTAGTTCTTGGCTGCATTATCACTACTCTTGCTTTGAACATAAGCCTTTTATATTGTCTCCCCAGGTTTTGCAGAAGCTAACCAAGCACAGAATCATTGAATCATAGAGTTGGAAGAGACCACATGGGCCATCCAGTCCAACCCCCAGCCATGCAGAAATTGGGTTCAATACCTAGATAGCTTACATCAAGACTACCTCTGCTAACACAGAGAACCTCTGACAGAGGTATTTCCAAGTATGCAGCCTTTCATAGGCTCTGCAATTCAGCTTTTACAGTACAACAAGGGAGGAAATTGTGTTACACTAGATGTTATTTCTGTTGGTTTTGTTCTCCAGGAATTGACCAATAAGAAAAAAGTAGTTGGCTATCCCTGAATTTAAAAAAATACAGACATGATTGCAATCAGCATTACCTGGTAGGTACAGACAAGTGCAATTTAGAACAAAGATCTGACTGCCTCATCAACCCTGAGAAAATGCTATGGAATGGCATTTCGCACATTTCTCAGCCTGTTTCTCAAGTCAACCATCTGAGACGTCATTCAGAGAACATCATGTAGATCCCTAGATTGTGTCACAGCCTTTTGTAAGCATCAAAACAGCCATCGTCTCCCACAACAATTACTAGAACCTCTCAAAACTAAAGCAAACATATCTCAGATCTTAGCCATAGGCTGCTGCTCCAGTTTGTGTTTTCCCTTTAAATCAAATACAGCTAATTCACACTAATTTTGCAATGATATAAAACAAATTCTATTATTCAATGCCAGACATTCACAGTAATGTGAGAGAAAAACCTAAACGGATTTATTCCCATACCAATAAGCAAATGGTATTTAACAGAAATTCCATTTTAGATTAATGCATACAACATTCTTTGTCTTGCAGCAAATCTTTTACGAACAATTTTTATTGATTGGCCAGTTGGCCTTATCAAAAACAGACAGTGCAAATACAACATACAACATACGAAGCAAATCTTTTAGATATTCAGCAGTTGCATACATAGAACCCCTTTCATTAAACAATGTGACTTTTCCTCCTGCTTTGAGTATTTCCTGCTTCCTAAATCTTTCATTGTGAAAGGGTATTGCACACCACTGAAAAGTCTGATTAGTCAAACAGCATGCTATGAATTCTGTCATCCTCGACCTTTGCATTTCCACGGTGACCTTTTTTGGAATGACATTAATGCAGACCAAGTGCATAAATGAACTCAGCTGAGGAAAATAATGGATATTGGCATTACAATATCTAAAGATCCACAAGAACACTGAAAGCTTAGCTCTGAATACAGTGATCTTTCAAACAGATGGCTTTATTGTAAGTCTTTATTTTATGTCTAGCTTGCATTAGTTCCTCATGAATTCTGCTAATGGAGTCTAAAAATCTATTATTTATTGCAACACCATCTCTTATAGACCACTAGTAGAGAGCTCCCCTGTGTTTACAACATTACTGCATCTAAAATCTCTGAAGCATAGCAGAGATGCAAGACTATATTTAAACTGCAATTGCAATTTTCTTTTTTCATAAATATTTTTTCCATTACAATCCATTAAAAAATAAAAAAATCCATACCTGACTTCTAATATTTTTCATTCATTGTTTTGCATTACAGTCTCAAACAACAAATGGGGAAGGATAACTTCAATAACATACCTCCATATTGTATTTTTCCACTGTTCTCTGCAAGGGATCAACAACTTGCCAGCAAATCAAGATGCAAAGATCTATTAGCAGCATCCCTCCAACTATCACCATCAATTTTTGGTCTTTGATGATCTAAAGAGAAAAAGAAGACAGCATAGGCGGGTATTCCCATTTAACTCTGAGAGTACAATGAAGCTTTCCTTAAGTGCCATGAATATATAGTACTGCTAAGAAGCTTTGAATTATACATAGAAAAGATATCTGTAATATGGGAAGACAAGAAAAGGTCATTTCACATGCTACATTTACATTGTTTTTTATTTGCCAAGCAAAGCCAACTGAACAGACAATAGTACTCATAATTTTAACATATTCTGCACACATATACAAATCCTAATCAAATGTTTTTATGCTCATATTTATGTAGAAATACATGCATCACAGATTCTGCCAGAAACTATAACCAAAGTACCAATTCAACTACCTTCCAAAATCATCTTTTAATCAGAAGGGATTGGTTGCATATGGCCTAACCCATACCAAATGATTTCATTGGGATCTAAGTGCAACTAACTTAATGTACATTAAAACTGTATGCAAGGAATAATTGTTGGCTTCAACACAATATACTTAATTGTTTATAGGTGTGAATGTTTCAACTGACCACCTTGATTAGCATTTGATGGCCTGGCTGTTTTTTGGTGTGGCTTGTTAGTGCCTGGGGGAATTTTTTGTTGAGAGGTGATTAGCTGTCCCTGATTGTTTCCTCTCTGTTGTTTTGCTTTTGTAATTTTAGAGTTTTTTTTTAAATACTGGTAGCCAGATTTTGTTCATCTTCATGGTTTCCTCCTTTCTGTTGAAATTGTCCATGTGCTTATGGATTTCAATGGCTTCTCTGTATAGTCTGACATGGTGGTTGTGAGAGTGGTCCAGTATTTCTGTGTTCTCAAATAAAACGCTGTGTCCAGGTTGGTTCATCAGGTGCTCTGCTATGGCTGATTTCTCTGGTTGAAGTAGTCTGCAGTGCCTTTCATGTTCCTTGATTCGTGTTTGGGTGCTGCGTTTGGTGGTCCCTATGTAGGTCACAGCATTATTTGAGAACACAGAAAGCTGGACCACTCTCACAACCAATGTCAGACTACGCAGAGAAGCCATTGAAACACAAGCATGTGGACAATTTCAACAGAAAGGAGGAAACCATGAAAATGAACAAAATCTGGATACCAGTTATTAAAAAAACTCAACAGCAAAACAACAGAGAGGAAATAATCAGGGACACCTAATCACCTCTCAACAAAAGATTCCCCCAGGCACTAACAAGTCACACCAAAAAACTGCCAGGCCATCAAATGCTAATCAAGGTGGTCAGTTGAAACATTCACACCTAGCTTCAGTAGACAAGAGTTCTTTGTCCCACCCTGGTTGTTCCACAGATATATAAACCCTTTTCCTAGTTCCAACAGACTCACTACCTCTGAGGATGCTTGCCATAGATGCAGGCGAAACGTCAGGAGAGAATGCCTCTAGACCATGGCCATATAGCCCGAAAAAACCTACAACAATCCAGTGATTCCAGCCATGAAAGCCTTTGACAATACATAAAGATCTTTATTCTAAAAGGCTTGTTGGACCAGAAACTAAAAAGCACCCCAATTAATAATAATAATAATAATAATTATTATTATTATTATTATTATTATTATGATACTATAGTTTTAAGCAACAGGTTTTTATTTTTCTCATTTTAGAGTAAGCAACAGTGCTGGGGAAAATGTAATGTAATGTAACTTGCCATATGTTGGTTCATTTTCAACAGATGGCCTTTTAATCGTGCATTTGGTGGTGTTCATTTTATTTAGCATGGAGGTGTTGACTTCTATAAAATCAGCTCCCTCCTCATATATTTATATTAGTAACTCAGAAAAAAATCCCAAGGAGCATCTAATGTTATCCTTAATAAAAGAGAGGCATTTCACGGTACTAGTAAATCTTCTAGGATTGCAGTCTTAACTGTATGGAACTCACTGGGCGTTACCTATGCATAGAATATTTAGTAGAAGGCTGGAGCTCTGTTAGTATTGATGGGTAAAACATTCCAGTAATGTGAATTTAATATGTTACCTATCAGAATATCCTTTAGGCATCTATGGAGTCATTTTGCTCTGCCAGGTCCTAGTCCGTACTTAGACCTCACCCAAGCCCAGCTTTATGACATGGATTAGGCCATGTGCACTGCTCCCTTAGTCCTGCTATACAGAGTGTATGTGTGGTAAATACTGTATATCCAAGGGTAAAAAGCAACTGTAGGTCTGATAAGCAAACTGTGTAGGAGAAGGCAAACCTAGGATGCCTCTACATTGTAGCATTAATACACTTTGACATCACTTGAACTGTCATTACACAACGCTGTGGAAACACCTATTGTACTTTCCCTTTATCCCGGCACCTTTTTCTGGGAGCCTGAAATGCCCATTTGAAGCCAAGAGAGTAGCTTCAAACCAAGAGTAGAACAGAGATCCATTGGCACTTGAAGCTAGGTCAAATTGTGGGTGAAGGAACACAAGAACACTTTTTCTTATATTTTCTAGGCATTTGGGAAAAGGTAAGGGGCAGACTTAGGCAGCTTGGGGAAATTGTGGGGGACATGAGTTTTAAATGCCATTTTAAATGTATTTATTGTATTTTAATTATGTTTTTACCACACTGTTCAACACTTTAAATCAAGAAATAGTTTTCTAAGATCTACAGATATTCTCACAGGAACACCTCAGCAAGCGAGAGTCCAAAAGTGGCAGGCTCAAACCCAGCACCTCAATCCATGGCTAATACCAAATGAGAGACTCCTTCCTGGGCACACAGAAGACTGGGCAACTTGGAAGGCGGTGAACAGACTGCCCTCTGGCACTACAAGATGCAGAGCCAACCTTAAGAAATGGAGCCACAAAGTGGGGTCCACGACATGCGAGTGTGGAGAAGAACAAACCACAGACAACCTATTACAATGCAGCCTGAGCCCTGCCACATGCACAATGGAGGATCTTCTTATAGCAACACCAGAAGCATTCAAAGTGGCCAGCTACTGGTCAAAGGACATTTAATATTATGCCAAATTTTTAAACTTTGTGTTTTCCCAAATACATCACAACTGTACCGATGGTTCGCTCCCGATACAATAAATAAATAACCACACTGTTACACCCTTGTTATGCCAGCTCCACTGACGGCTTATTAGCTTTCGAGCCCAATTCAAAGTGCTGGCGTTGGCCTATAAAGCCCTTAACGGTTCTGGCCCAGTTTACCTATCCGAATGTATCTCCCACTACGAACCACCTAGGACCTTAAGATCATGCGGGGAGGCCCTGTTCGCTGTCCCCCCACCATTGCAATCGTGGTTGGTGGGGACAAGAAACAGGGCCTTCTCTGTGGTAGCCCTTTGGCTATGGAATTCCCTCCCAAGTGAAATCAGATCCTCTCCCTCCCTCCTGAACTTCCAGAAAAAGGTGAAATCCTGGCTGTGGGATCAGGCCTTTGTAGATTAGACCAATGTGATAATAGAACTGTAGTTTAATGGACTCTGATGGACTCGAATGGACTGTGTGTAGGAGGGCGATTTAATTCTGGTGATTGTTCTAATGTTTCACTGTTTTTATAATGTTTTATACTGTTTTTACCTAAGATATATATTTATGCTTTTGTTGTTAGTCGCCCTGAGTCCCTCTGCGGAGGTTGAGATAGGATGGGATATAAATGTCAGAAATAAATAAATAAATACTTAAATTATTTTATTGGCTTTTGTATTGCACTTTTTCAACTTGCCTAGTGTGGGACTGTTAGCCACCTTGAATCACCACATGATAATGTTGATGATTTTATTTCTTGTGCTGGTCTATGGCCGAAGTAAATGATATGATGATGATGATGATGATGATGACAAGAATAATGCATTCTTTCCACATTTCTCCTCAAGAAAGCTATGACTACTTCATTTTAGTTCAATGCCTTCCTGAACCCAATCTGAGCAGGAACTGAGTGCTCATTACACCTTCCAGATCACTACACTAATACAGCATGATGTTATGAGAAACTGCTAACAAATGGTTAAATTCCCTACATTTTATTGGATCAGGCTTCTGACCCATCTAAGATAATAAGCAGCTTACAAATATTAACTTTAATTTTTTAATACAAAAGGGAAAAATAGAACAAAGGGACAGAGGTTTTCTTAGTGATTCACCAAACTATCACCATGCCACAGCATGGGATCCTAAGCAGTTCAGTGCAGTTCAAGTCTGATTGTCTTGAGCTTGCTTGATTTACCCTCCTAGAGTAACAGGTAAACTGAAATCCTTTTGCAACCAAAATCCATAATTTCCCATATTTTGCAGCCGCAGCTCCAGCTTATCTTGCTATTTGTTGATTACTGCATGTATTTTAAAGTTCTATGCCTTTGCAGTTAGATGGCTTTCCTTAATTTGCATTTATTAGATCTATGACCTGTCAATTATCATTAGGTCCCCTGGTCCCACCCCCTTTTTGGGTTTTGGAGGGAATAGAAGCCATTTTGGGTCAGTCCACACAGAGAAGTCTTTCATACAGGACATAAAACCAGGAGCTCCTGTAGAAAGCTTTGTCTTTTACAGCTTGGCCGGGGAGATACAGCCCCATAGCTTGGCCAGAAAGATACAATCTCAGCACAGCTCTTTTGCTGAGGATTTTACAGCCTTACAGCCTCTTTGCTGAGAGAATCCAGTCCCACAGCGCTTCAGCCATCCATCACTGAAACCTGAACACCTTCTTTTCCCCTGGAAGTCTACAAAGGACTCTGTTTGGTAAGGGCCACTCGCGGCAGTCAGAAGCAGTTGGTACCGGGTGTAGGGGCTCCACACCAACAGAGGCAAAGACACACTGCCCAGATAAGAGGTTAAGGATTTCCCTATTAGTCAAAATACAGTTATGAAGATAGTGCCTGTCCCCTGTGGACAAGATTGAGAGAGCCAATAGACTATTAAGAAAGCCTTGAAGGACCTGTTTGATTTCAATAATAAAGAACTTTGTTGAACCTTTAAGCAATCTAAAGACTCTGTTTAAGGAAATCCAAAGGCCTTTAATCTGAGGCAGCCCCGGCGTCCCGT